GGTGGTGGTGGTGGTTCATTCGGTGGAGGTCTTCCATATGGTGGAGGAGCTTCATTCGGTGGTGGTCTTCCATATGGCGGTGGTTCATTTGGTGGCGGTGGTTCATTCGGTGGTGGTCTTCCATTCGGTGGTGGATCATTTGGTGGCATGAATCCATGTTGCCCACCTCAACAAGCTTTACCACCAATGCAATGTCCACCAATGTCTCCTCCAATGCCAATGCCAATGCAAATGCCAATGCAAATGCCGCAAATGCCATGCCCACCAATGCCAATGCCAATGCAAATGCCAATGCAACAACAATGTTGTCCACCTCCAATGCCTATGCCAATGCCAATGCCACAAATGCCAATGCAATGCCTTCCTCCACCAATGCCATGCCCACCTCCAATGCCACAAATGCAAATGCAATGTCTTCCTCCACCAATGCCAATGCCACAAATGCAAATGCAATGTCTTCCCCCACCAATGCCAATGCCGATGCTTCCAGCACCTCAAAGTATGCCTCAACAGATTCCATGTCCAGTACCAGTACCAGTACCAGTACCACAGCCGTGCCCTGTACCAGTACCAGTACCACAACCTTGCCCTGTACCAGTTCCTGTGCGGGAATGTGTACCAGTACCGTAAGTTATTAACTTTTTCTAAATGATTTTTTTTATCTTTGTTCATTATTCTAGACAACCTTGTCCATATCCGGTACCTGTACCAGTACCATCAAATGAAATTCGAGTAAGAGATATTAGCTATTACTAATCATCACTTAATTTATTGTATTTTTTTTCAGCAAGTACCTGTACCTGTACCACAACCATGTCCAGTACCGGTTCCTGTACCTGTCGAACGTATTGTTTGTCAACCTGTGTAAGTACATCAATTATTACAAATAAATTTATTAATTTTTTTGCTTTTAGTTGTATACCTATTCCTGTTCCTCAACCATGTCCAGTACCAGTTCCTGTTCCTCAACCATGCCCAGTACCAGTTCCAGTTCAACAACAAAATCAACAAGTAAGTTATTAATATCTGATTTTTAATATTACAACATAATAATAAAAAACGGAATGTAATCATTAATTACTTACAATATGTATTTTTTTTTATAGTGTATACCTGTACCTGTTCCTCAACCATGTCCTGTACCAGTTCCACAGCCTTGTCCAGTTCCAGTTCCTGTACCTGGTCCAATTCAATGTATACCTGTTCCTGTACCAGTACCTCAACCACAACAACCTCAATGTATGCCACAAATGCAAATGCCAATGCAAATGCCAATGCAACAACAGTGTTGTCCACCTCCAATGCCTATGCCAATGCCAATGCCAATGCAACAACAATGTTGTCCACCTCCAATGCCAATGCAAATGCCAATGCAACAACAATGTTGCCCACCTCCAATGCCAATGCAAATGCCAATGCAGCAACAATGTTGTCCACCTCCAATGCCTATGCAAATGCCAATGCAAATGCCAATGCAACAACAATGTTGTCCACCTCCAATGCCAATGCAAATGCCAATGCAAATGCCAATGCAACAACAATGCTGTCCACCACCCAATCCTTGCGCTTCGTTAGGTGGCGGGTAAGTTCTTCTAATGTATAAGTTATTTCAATCATATTATTTTATTTTATTTTATTTTTTTCAGACTGGGAGGTTATGGTGGTGGATTAGGAGGAGGTATGTTCGGTTCATTCGGTGGTGGATCGAGCGGACTTCTTGGTGGAGGTCTTGGTGCGTATGGGTAAGTATAGTAAACATATGAAATATATAATTTCTCATAAATATCATATTTCTTTCTAGTGGCGGTCTTGGTATGGGAGGTAGTGGTATGGGTGGTTTGGGAGGTTTTGGTGGTGGTTTGGGAGGACTTGGTGGTGGTTTGGGAGGATTTGGTGGCGGTATGGGTCCTATCTGCGGTGTGCCTATTGGTTTTGGTGTAACAACAACAGTCGGTGGTGGAAATCCATACACAGACGACATTTATACAGGTTCAATGGGATATGGAGCTTCACTTGGCTATGGGCCAACTGGTGTACCACCACCAGGAGTTGCTGGAGTTTCAGGTGCGTTCAATCGGGCGTTACATCGTGGTCCCTATCGTCGACCATATTAAATTTAATCAACAATCGACTAGCTACCCGAATGAATAAACTCATGAAACAGACAGAACGACAAGAAGTGCCTACACCACTTGTCTAAAAAAAGAAACATATTTAGATCTATGAGCGTTGCAAACGACTCTTTTTTTCTTCTTTCTACTTTACTTGAGGTCTTTCATTTACATCTCATATTACACACGTTTTGTACTGGCTCATTTTATTTTACGTCATTTCATATCTTTTTACAATCTTATTATTTTATTTCTTGTCATTGTCTTATGTCTTCTTCACATTATTCGTATGTTTACCGTATCGTTTGCCTCTCTCTGCATGTGAAAACGTTCAGATAGGTGTATTCTCTTTGTCCATATTTGTTTCTTGTATTGTGCAATCGTCGATTACTTTAAAATTCTTTTTTTTCATTTTATTAAATAAATTCATATTTCACATCCTTTTCCTTTATCCTTTACCCTCCCATTTTTAACCTATCCTTTTTGATATTCATTTGTGCTTTATTTAGAATATGTTTCGTATGATGTAATTGTAATGCGCGATTGATAGTATGCCCTTGTTACAGTTCACTGAACTATTGAATAAGAGCGTGAAAGTGTGTACGCACATTTAATCAATGTGTAGTATGTCCTTCAATAGAAAATCAAGGTAGCTAAAGACCAGATTCATTAGTTGATAAATAAAAGAAATGTCATTGAGTCGTCTAGATACCTTGAATCAGTATAAGAAAATGCGTACATAGTTAAATTAGAAATAAGTATAATATGTGAAGGCTTTTTTCTTTGTATAATTGGCCGTCTTTTTAATTTTCTTTCTAGGCATGCAATCAATTGATTTTATTCCATTTAAATTTTCTACATGATAATAAGTATAATTTTAAAATAAAACTTGATGGCATTGATGAAAAGAAAATTCAATTTGTACAATTTTTTGTTAGATATTCTATATATTTATTTGTTATGTTTTTTCTATTCTTAAGCATTTCTTTCTAGTTGAATACATTCAATCCTAAATATACTCAATTTGAACTTGCATTTCGTTTTATTTTTTTAATATGCTCAATTACAGCTACAGTATGTTTGCAAAAATATATTTATTGAAAAACAAAATCAAAATTTTGTTTTAGTGTCTTTTTACAAAATCAATGCGTCGATTTTCAATTTTGGACTGGTCACTTGAACAAAGATGGATGATTATATTACTCATATTTCTTGTTTTTTATAATGGTACAACATAGAATATTTTCAATGTTATACTTCTTGAAATATTGTGTTTTCTTTTAGATCCATTTTATCCATTAACATTCCTAACAAATAATTCATTTCCATCAATTCTCGATGGTATTTTACAAGCCACGTTTCTTTGCATTCTATTACTATTTTGGCTTAGTGTTTATCATGGCATACGTCAAGTAAAAAATTTGAATTTCATTAAATCATCTTTTTTATTTTTGTTCTTCAGAATGTTCGTCGATTTCTTCCATTTTATTTACCAAAATTAATTCTTGTTAGTCTTCTATGGATATTCTCTATTGTACTTTCATCGGTTCGGATTGTACAAGAATATCGAGATCCAATGTATAACATGACAATTGATATAACACAATTTACTGTAAAAGATAATCATTTTCTTATTGAAAAAAAAAAATACTATTTTTATTTTCTTTCTTTAGACATATCGTGTTATGTTTTATATTATTGGAATCTTCTATATTCTATATTTGCTCTTTTTAATTATTCGAGCATTTGGTGAACTTCGTAATATGCCCTATTTCGGTATGTATGATCTATAGTTTTTCTTTCATAATAAATTTCGAAAACATCTTTTATTAGATGTTCGATTAAAATTTACAACAGTTTTAATGCTTTGTGTTGTATCAATTTCAATTCTTATTACAACACTTCGATTTGGTTCGGGAATTATTGAAGAGAATTTCGTACCGGAATTAGCATCACGTTATAAAAATTCTGTTGAATTTATCTCATTTTATAGTTTAATTAATTTTTATTTATATACAATGGCATATGTATATTCACCAGCAAAAAATGCAGCAATTGATTCATTATTTCGAGATAATCCAACATTTTCCATGATAAATGATTCAGATGAAGATGTTGTTTATGGGTAAAATAGCATCTTAATAATTATAATTATGTTTTCTTTTTGTTTTGTTTTCTAGATCTGATCATGAAGAATCTCAATTAACATCAACTAGATAAATGTATTATTCATCATTACGTATTTTATTTATTTATTTATTTATTCTGAATGGTTGTTGGTTTTATTTTTTTTTCGTTGCGTCTTTGTTTTTGTTTTCTTCGATATTTTTATTTTATCTTCGTTTACATTCTTAATCGAATATATCTATACATATTCATAGTCATTGTTATGTAGTTTTTAATTATAACGAATAAATAATTGTAAATGGGTGAATGTGAAAAAATAGATATTATTTATTGATACAGATAAATTAAAGAAGCAAAAAAAAAAGAAATTGTTTCATTATAAATTAATAATTTGTACAAGATAATTATTATGTATCTTGTTGGGTATCAGAATTAATAATTGTATTCGGTGGATTTCGTAAATCATCATCGTAATCAGTTAAGCCAATCATTGATTTGATTGTATTATTTAAAAATTGTGAATGTTCATCAAGATATATTGATGATTGTTGAAATGAATCTTTGAGAAATGTTTGTTCTTGAATTTTTTTAGTGGTTAATGATGGTAATTCATCTGTTGATTGTTTTGTAAAATAGGAATATGAATTCATACATGGAATTATAAATCTAGCTGTTGGATGTTTTGATACAGATATAATTGGTTCTTTTCTTTTATATCTATTTGGATAATTAAGATTTAATTTACTACATACATATACTTGTTTTTCTGAATGTTTTAAAGATTTTTTACGTGATTTTTGTATTCGTATATCTTGTGAATTTGTCATGGATGATTGTTGTTCAAGTGAATTAAGTGTTTCATAAGATTGATCAATTGAATCAATATCATTTGATTTTTCTGTTCCTTGAAGTCGAGATGATATACGTACTAAAGATGGAACATTAAACTGACATTCAGTTAATGCTTGTGGTTGTTTTACAATACGTTCTAATGTAAGTGATGATTTCGGTGCTCTATATTCATTATTTGATTGATTATTTGATATCGAAATTAATGAATTATCAAAATTATTAACAGGACGTACTTCTATATTATGAATTTGTTTTATAATTTTATCAACTGTTTCAACACATATAGAATTTCCTTCGATACCTTTAAGTGCATTATTATTATTAATTGTTTTTTTTGAAATTGTTGTCATAGCAAGAACTGTCGGTTGACGAGAATTTGTTTTCATTGTTGTTGTTGCTGGTGGTGGTAGAATATTAGAATTTATCCGATTATGTACTTGATGATAAGATCGATGAGTAGCATCTCGTAATGTATTAATATTGAGATCAGATTTCATACGAATTTTATAAGCTGCACGATCGATTGTTAAGAAATCTTTTTGATTATTAAATAATTGGTCAAAGATAGTCAATCTATTTCCATTACGAGAATTTAAACGTTGAGAACGAGGTGATACTGGTATTGGTCTTGGAGGACTTCGATTATTCAATACATATTCTCGATAATAATTTGAATTTAAACGTTGTTCAAATTGAAAATTTTGAGATTCATTAAATGAACTTAGTGGCATAATTAATTATCTAAAATAAAAACCGATGTTATATAAATAACAGAATTGCCTAATAAATTAAATCCAAATGGTAAATCTCAATATAATATCTACTCTATACAAATCACTGATTCGATCGAGTATTTCTTACGAATCTATGGAAACATTTACAAACAATACAAGAATTTCCTATACATAAATCAACTAAATAAAGACGGATTGAACAATCAATTAAACGAGCTAGAATCTATAATGATACAATAACTAAACATAATCGATTAAAGATTCAATTACATATCACACGAAATAATATAGAAACAAATTTCTCTTCTTAGGGTAAAAGACTAATGCCAAGAGTTCTAAATATCTCTTCCATTTTCTATTAATCCTCCTAGATTTATTTAATTACTAAAAAAATAAATCGCTGGAATCTAAGAAAATGATGCATTTTACAAAACTCCAACCGTAAGACGACATGAGCTATAATTATATAACATATTCTCTAGTCTAGATGAACATATATGCTATTCACAATATGATCATCATTTAAATTGAAGCGCTTAACATTAGTTGTGTAATAGCTTACCTATTGTCATATTTACTTTTTTTGCTCTTTCTATAATGTTATTAAAAACTCGAACATAATTTATAATAACATTACTTCTGTTTTACATGTTTTGAATATGTAAGCTCTCGGGGAAATAGTAATAGAAGAGAAAAATGAAAATAACAAAAAAAAAATCATTTTTTAAAATTTATTTTAAGCAATAGTCAAAACCTTATAAATATTTAAAATGCAAACGAGAAGAGAAAAAGAAAATTATTTTTTGCTATTACGATAATTTGAAAAAAAAATAATATTAATACAATTTAATTTTGAACGTTTTTTTTTCGTATAAATAAATACTTAATTAAAACAATTACATAAAATGAAATAGTGTTTATTTGTTAAATATGATGAATTACTTTGTGGGCAATGATCAGATAAAAAATAAGCGCTAACTTTCGTTTACACATCGAAAACTTAATTATGTGCAACAAAATTTTTTATAGCAGTAATTTGCAATGAGTCTGTCTGATAAAAAATTAAACGATCTTCGATATCAACTAGATTGATATTGCAGATAATATTAATTATGTGCCAAAATAATCATTTTATTCGTCTGATGAAAATATTCGTAACTTTTTGTAATGATCATTAATTGTTTTTCTCTATTTCAACTAAGATTCATGATATGATAATTTTTGTTTACCTTCAAGAAAAAAACAATAAATCATTTTTTGAATAAATTTTTATCAAGGCGGAACATCAAATGTGATTTAGCACACCTCATATTCTTCCTGGTCGTCAAATATAAAAGCCCGAATAAATAAAATTTATATGAATTTTGTTTTCACAAAAAAAAGAGCATCTAAACATGAAGGCATATTGCTCATTTGGTGCTGTTGTTTGTTTCTCGATATCTGGTTTATTAATTAGTACTGTGGTTATATTATCTCTTATTCCAGTTTATACACCACCAAGTGATTTTCCTGTCTCGACTACAGATAAGCTTTTTATATTAGATTGAAAATATATTATTAAAATTTTTTGTGTTTACGTAGGCTACAACCATTTCAGTTCAGTTCTAACATTTCCAGAAGCATACGGAAACGTAGTACTACAGCGGATATTGACATAATAGATGTATCTAGTTTTCCTGAACTACAGCATCTTGTAAGTAACATAGAATTTTGATATATATATATGTAAACTATTGATTAATTTCTATTAGATTCAAAATGTGTTAATAAAATTCGCTCATCTACGAAGAAGCGTTCAAATAGACATTGAAACAGCATTCATGTAAAGCATATATTTATTTTGTAATTAATAAGAGAAATTTTTTCATCTTGTCTATTTAGAGATAATGCAAACAGATTATTATATTATGTAGGAAATTATAGATTTTCGATTTTTTGTAAACAAGTATGTCAAGATAATATATTAAATTCATTATTTACAATTGAAAACGTTGCATACACTTTAAACAATATAACAATACCAAATCTGAGTGAATCGATCCATGTTAATATTAATGAAAATTTAAATAATTTAAACATATTAAGTTTAACACATATTACTGGATTAGGTGAAGGTATAATTGATATTAATTGCATTTTATAAAATATTTTCATTTATAATTTCTTCTATTTTAAAGTTCCACTTGATATTCAGCACTTTCTTAAAATAAAATCTACACGTCGACGAAGACAGATATCGAGTAATAATCCAGATGAATCTTTATATAAATTAGTATGTATAAATATTTGATTTTAAATATTAGATAATTAATTATTTAGATCGGACAAACATTAAACTTAACAAACAGCGGCCGATATGTACCATTTACTATTACTAATCATACTACGACATATTCATCAGATAGTTCTAGTTTAGAATTGCATACTTCAGTTATACTTCGATACGGTTTCTACTGTCTGTCAGATTGTTTAATCGATAAGATTGGAAATCTAACAATAGATCTTTCCAATACTAGCCTAACATCGACTCTTTCCTATCAGTCTTTGTATAATGTAGAATTGGTCAAAGTTCTTCCTCCGGAAAACTATAGTGCGCGTAAGTATAAATGTGTAGTTATCTTTTCGATTTTATTTCTTTGTCGTTTAAGCATCTCTTCGAATTCTATCCTATGAAATAAACTCAGCTGAAAATAATATTTCTAATACTCAGCTTGGTGCAATTACTGATAAAGCTTCATTAACAAGTATTTCGGATGCTGTAAGTTATATATAGCTTTTGTTTTTTTGTTATAAAATGTATCTCTACTATTATGATATAGGTTAATGGTTCATTAAATTCATCAATTGATTATGAAATTGAAGGTGCATCGATTGTACAAGAATCGATAGATACTAAATTATTTAGTTTATCTCAAAAACAAACATTTCGATATATACTTGTTGTAATTATCAAATTTATTTTTCAAAGTTCATGTGATCGTCATTGTCAAAAAGAAGAATTAAAAGTTATAATTGATAATGGTCATATACCAGCTCCACCGCCTATAACAATCCGAAATGTGAAATTCACATTACCAAAACCTACTATTGGTAATTCAACTTTTATATTCTTTCTAAAATGGACCAAATATGAAAATTTATATATGTTCTATTTAGATATATTCGAAAAACCATCATCATCAACTCAAGCAAGTAAGTACCATGCATATAGAGAATAAGATTTATAGTAATAATTGATGGTATATTTTTCTAGCTACAACAACAACGACAACAACAACAGCACACACAGCAACAGGACAAACAACAACAGCAACAGGAACAGGACAAACAACAACAACAGCACACACAGCAACAGGAACAGGACCAACAACAACAGCAACAGGAACAGGACAAACAACAACAACAGCAACAGGAACAGGACCAACAGCAACAACAACAGTA